ACAGGAGAAGGAAAGCTTTATAGTTTAAGTAGGAATTTACTGAAAATATAAAATGTTAGAATGTTAAGGGGTGTTTTTTATACAAAATTTCCACAATTCAACAATTCCAGTAAATATATTTTTCCACAATTTCTCTGTTATAGTAAATCTCACAGTAACTAGGCACATAGGATACCTGAGCTCAATGTCTCCCTATATGACAGTGATGTGTAAAAAGATACGTTAATGGACAGCCAAGTGCAAATGAACATATAATGATGCTGTCAGATGCTGTCACTACTACTCTTGGTTTTTACCCATCCTCTGTGCTCTATTAACGACCTTCAGCATTTTTTTTCCATAAAACTCCTTGCTTTATCACATTTTAAATCCTAAGCATCTTTGAACGTAGGTGTAGGAATTAGATGAACCTTTCTAGACTGTGACCCTTCTTACTGATATTATAGGCATAAAGACTCATCAGCCTCCAGGTGAAAATAGGCTATTAGTTGAATGAGTTTTCTACTGTGGCCAAAAGACAGTTTCTTCTTTGAGAGCCTTGCTACAGTTGTCTGCTGTTCACACAGATGTACATGCTTTTAAGGCTGCAAATGGGATGATAATCTATACGATATGGAAATCGACAACTGATGGCATGGTTCCCCGCTCCTATCACATACAATCTCTACAGCTGACATCCATCCCTCACCTCCTCAAGTCAAATTTCATCTTACAATCTGGAACTTGCACAAATTGGAACTTGTAGCTTGATTGCAACTATGCTACTACCCCTCTGCACCGGCACGGGGCGCCATAGATCCCCTGGGGCCAGTACTACCCTTGGTCACAAGATATTTAACTGAACTCAACCTATTTTGAACTTAAGCACGAGAACTCTAGCTGCAAGAAGATACAACTACGAGATACTCTACTGCATGCTGGACTATCTGCAATCAAGCACCCTGGGAAACATTTCTCCACACCTGACTGCCACTCCGTATACCTTTTAAAATGCCTCCTCTACTCCTCTTTTTCATATTCCTCTCCTGCGTTCCCAAACTCTCTTTTCTCTGTCCCTCTGCTCCACCCAAACAACTGTACATCTCACCTTCACTGCTTCCATCTCCCTACTACTGCTCTCATCACCTCCTGCTGATACTCCACTCTCCTGCTGATCCGAACACCAGAACTGGAAGACATGCGCGCTCATGTGCATCCCACTCCCATGCCACCTTTCTCACCCTTCTTCTTCACTTAACCTCTGGGGATATCTCCCCGAACCCTGGTCCACCACTACCTCGTCCACACACAAGACATCCTCTTTCTTCCAAACAATTACCAGCAGAAACCTCCGAAACCTGAACCCTGCTCCCTTCCACTCTGCAGCTGACCAGCTTTAGGACAGTATTCATCCCCTGTCCTGCCCTGACCTGGCCACTACTGTCTACAACAATTTGCTTTCTGCCGCTCTAGACTCGCTTGCACCCCCAACAACACAAAGCATTAGGCCCCGACCGCTACGACCCTGGCAGACTGACCACACCAGAAATCTCAAATGACATAGTCGTGTGCTGGAGCGACTATGGCGTAAAACCAAATCCCAACAAGCATTCACCCAATATAAATCTGCCTTCTTAACATACACTTCCTCCCTTCACGCTGCCAAACAAGCCTACTTTGTTACCCTCATTAATACCTTCTCTTCCAGTCCTCGTCAGCTCTTCTCTACTTTTAACTCGCTACTTTCTCCGCCTCCACCTCCACCCAGTACAATTGTACTTGTACAGTACAAGATTGACGCAATTCATAGGGACATCGCCACTGCTCAGACATCCCCCCCCACTTAGCATTCCTCACACTAAAACCCCCTCAACACTTCGCTCTTTTGACCTCGCCACTACCGAAGAGGTCACTCTTCTCTTCTCCATCTACACCTCCTCCCTTGGCCAATTGATAAACTCCCATGGCTTCAATTACCATCTCTATGCTGACGACACACAAATCTATCTCTCTACCCCTCACCTCACCCCTTCAGTCTCCACTTGTATCACTAGCCTACTAAGTGACATATCGGATTCGATGTCACTCCACTTCCTCAAACTCAATCTTTCCATAACTGAGCTCCTAGTATTCCCCCCAGCCCGTGCCCCCCCCCCCCCCGACTTCTCCATCAAGATCAACAACACTATCATCAGTCCCACCCCTCAGGCCAGGGTACTAGGTGTAATCCTAGACTCCAATCTGTCCTTTCAGCCCCAGGTCCAATCGCTGACAAACTCGTGTAGACTTCACCTCTTCAACATCTCCAAGATACGACCATTCCTAACCTCGGAAACCACTAAGCAACTCATTCACTCCCTTATTTTATCACGCATCGACTACTGTAACTCCCTCCTCATGGGCCTACCTCATCTCACGCTATCCCCACTTCAGTCTATCATGAATGCTGCTGCCAGACTCATCCACCTTACTAACCATTCTGTATCTGCCACCCCTCTCTGCCAATCCCTCCACTGGCTTCCCATTGCCCAACGGATAAAATTCAAAACACTGACGTATAAAGCCGTTCATAACACTGCCTCAAATTACATCACCGATCTTGTCTCTAAATATCACCCAAACCGTACTCTCTGCTTCTCGCAAGACCTCCGACTCTCTAGCTCCCTTGTCTCCTCCTCCCATGCTCGTCTCCAGGACTTCTCCAGGGCTTCCCCCATCCTCTGGAACTCGCTACCCCAATCTATCAGACTATCGCCTACTCTGAAAACCTATCTCTTCAGGGAAGCCTACCCCGCCCTCAGCTAATACTGGAATCCTCTACTCTTCCAACCAATCCACCCCCCACAGTCATTAACTTTTGTACCACTATCCCCTCCCTCCTAGATTGTAAGCTCCAAGGAGCAGGGCCCTCAAATCCCTCTTGTATTGAACTGTATTGTTACTGTACTGTCTCCCACCATAATGTAAAGTGCTGAGCAAACTGTCGGTGCTATATAAATCCTGTATAATAATAATAATAATAATCTTTGCAGATTGCCCCATTAGAGACCTTTATTACCTCTCTTTAACCCATGTATGGGTGAATATCACTCTAGCTGCAAATCTGTACCTATCAGGCTACAGTTAGATATCATGGTTTTATGGGGTAGATATAACTGCACAGTAAACATGTTTGGGCATATATCCAGTCATCAAGCCTATCACTGTTTCTAACACCTAGACACTGCAATGTGAACCAAAGGCTGATTGCAGGTGTGAACTAGTCAGGTTAAAAATCAGAGTCAGTATTAAGAGCAGTTGCAAAATTTCTAGGCTGTAAGGGGCAGAATGTCTACACTGGAACTCTTTACTTCTATAATCCTACACCATTGCACCAGTGTTTTGCATTGATCCTCTTCTCAGGTTCCCCACCGATGCTCCTGGCTCCTCCCCTCTTGCTGGTACTACCCCAATAGGAAGCCAATTACCTTGGGGGCACTTGTGCAGGCTCGCTCCCGATTCCCACTCCTACATCCATTCACAAAGACAGCAGGACTCGGCCCTGCCCCCCCACTCCCTCATCACTGGATTTTATTGTCAGGAGCTGGAGCCACCAATGTTTCTGTTGCTATTGGTCTGCTCAGTGAGGAAGGACAAAGCCAGGAAAGCCGGAGCTCTAATGCACAGCACTGGATTGTGATGAGGTTCAGGTAAGTATATGGGGGAGGGGGGCAGGGGAGCGAGTCTCGCTGCTGCACCCATTGACACAGACAGCAGTACTCGGTCCAGCCCCCCCACTCCCCTCATCCCTGAACTTTATTGTCAGGAGCTGGAGCAGTCATTGGTTCCTGTTGCTATCGATCTGCTCAATGAGGAGGGACAAATCCAGGAGAGCCAAAGCTCTAATGCACAGCACTGGATCATTATAGGGCTCAGGTAAGTATAAGGGGGGACAGGGTAAGATTCTTTTACACAGAAGGTTTTTTTTACCTTGATGTATGGAATGAATTAAGGTAAAAAACCTTGAGGCGTTACAACCACTTTGAGTATAGAGGCATTCAAATATGGGGTTTGATTTCGGGAATGTGTATTTAAAAATAGCACATTTCAGGGCTACCATCTTGATCCTTGCTTCACTACCTAGTGAGTCATCTACCTGGAATATGAATGTAGCCTTTAAAATATATAGTTTGAACTCTTTCATGGTTGTTCCAGGTCAGTGGCTTACTAGGCAGGGAAGCCAAAATCAGGATGACAACACCAAAACCTGTAACCTCCCCTTCAGGAAGGGTTAAACCAGATGCTGCTTCATGGCTATCTTTCCTATCAGGCATCTAAGGGAAGTCAGAAACCCAATCTCTTAACTCAAGGAACTCCTCTTCAATACTGTCTCAGGGAAACTTTATGTATGAGAGGCCTCTCTTTTCTGCAATATTAAGGTCACCATTCAAGGATACCTCTGCAACAACAGGGGCGTTGAGACAATAGAGCCCAAGGTTATTGGTGCAGGGCAGCCCAGATTCCATATTGCAGCAGTATTACTTGGTGCACCCATAAACTTCTGTTCGGGGCTACAGTATACAATTTTGTTTCCCTAAACTCAGGATTCTTTACTCCACAAAGTGCCCTTCAGACCAGTCCAGCTGGAGCTTTCCATGTCCTGAACCAGGGACTGAATATCCTAAACTCTGGGAACCATCACAGCGAGTACTAACATGGTAACCCTCACCCTCCAGGGACATGATGTGGTTTCAGAGTGACAGAGTCATAGTTACATCTGGCTGAAATCTGGCTGAAAAAAGACAAAAGTCTATCCAGTTCAACCATTAAAAAAAAGTTATAATCCTACACCCACAGTCGATCCAGAGGGAGGCAACAAAACCCAGCAAAGCACGATACAATTTGCGCCTGCAGGGGAAAAGATTCCTGCCTGATTCCCCGAGAGGCAATCCGATATTTGATCCATTTACCTATAAATGTTAGTATCCAGTTATATTCTGTGTATCCAAGAAAGAATCCAGGCCTTTTTTAAAGCAATCCACCAGGGGCGGACTGACAACTCATGGGGCCCCCAGGAAATAGGGGATCATGGGGCCCCTGTGTCCTTGCCCACACTCAAAGCACACCCAAAAAAGCCTATAAAAAAGGTACCAGGGGCATTTCATGGGGCCCCCTACTGGGCAGTGCTTGAGTGCTCGAATGGTCAGCCCGCCCCTGCAATCCACTGAGCTGGCCAGAACCAACTCTTGAGGGAGTCTATTCCACATTTTCATAGCTCTTACTGTGAAGAGACCTTTCCATGTTTGGAGATTGCATTTCTTTTGGTCCAGACGTAAAGAGTGCCCCCTTGTCCTCTGTGATGACCTCAGGGTGAATAACTCTACACCAAGTTCACTATTTGAACCACTGATGTATTTATACATGTTGATTATAGAGTCAGACTAGTCTACACCACCTAGAGAGCCCTCCATCACACAGGTGCTAACACACTACTCTTCACACAGGATATTTCAGGAGAAGTCTATATTCCAAATAGCAAATGTTCCAATTGTACTGTTGTAGCCAGGGGCAGACTGACAACTCATGGGGCCCCCAGGCACTAGGGGATCATGGGGCCCCTGTGTCCTTGTCCAAACTCAAAAAAGCCTATGATAAAGGTACCAGGGGTATCTCATGGGGCCCCCTACTGACCCCGGGCCCTCGGGCAGTGCCCGAGTCTCCAAATGGTCAGTCCGCCCCCGGTTGTAGCATTGATAACGAATCTTTACTAAAGCAGGCCATAAGTTTTGTGATTTACTTTCTTGCAACCACAGTTTTTACCCCAAGAAAGGTACTCCATACTGGAGGAAACTCTGTTCTGCCCCAGTCAGGTTGGCACAAGTTTCAAAAGAACTCACGTGGTTACTGTCTTATATTCTCCCAGAGTGAAAAAGGGTTCCTTTTGACAGGTCCTCTCCTGGTCATAACCCCCTGCCTGTGACACAGGTTTATATATATATATCCTGTGTCACAAAATTGTTACCCAAATTGTGCAGGAGTTCACTGTCCAATTGTGACAAAGAATTTTACAATTGTGTCCAATTGTGACAAAGCATATTAGTCCTATGCTAGATTTTCCCTGAAATGTTAGAGCTAAAAGAACTTCCCCTAAAAATGATTCTACACTAATGCAATAAGGACAGGTGGGAGCATCTAGTGGCAGAAATGAGACACAGAAATCTTGCTAAGGTAACAGCATTAGGAGCCACACACCCTGTTACAAGCACAGTGGTTTCTGCATCTGTCTTTTATCTTAGTGAGTGCCTATTGAGCAAAATATGGATCATTTAGAATCCATTCCTGTATCTTTATTATAATACACCATCATTCTATTATCTAGACTGAGGTTTGCACTGCAAGAGAAGCAATTCAGAGCTCCGACCTCTGAGCTCAAAGTATTTGCATGTTTAGTTCTCTGGATTTGGGGGCTCTTGGCGTGCCTAGGGAGATAAAAGATTGAAAGAACTGTGTGTACACACCTCCAGGTATCTACTTTTTAATTTTTTAATGTCAGTTTTACTACTTGTGATATATAACAGGTTTACTTTAAAGCATAACTCCTATGAGAAATCATGAAAGCTGCCATTACTGAGCCCTTCTTCTGAAAATGCTAGTTACCTGTCTGCCATGCCAAATATCTGCCTTCAGTGCTTTAATTTACTGAATTGCTAGTAAAAACTTCTGATTTTTTTCATGATGACTTTTTTGTACTACATACCTTCAAGTCAGTGGCCCAGAAAGCACTGAAGCCAGACTTTTTGTCATGCTTATGAATAGACTTGAGTTATTAATGGCTATAACCCTAATTAATCATAGTATATTGTTCATATTTCTCTGTTTATTCATGTCCTGATCTACATTCTGAAATGTTTCAACAGAAAATCTAAAAGTAAAAGTATTGAAGCCAAAAAGGTCAACATACCATCTAGGACAGGGGTGTCAAACAATCTAGGAATTTAGCATTTTCAGGAGTAAGTCAGCAATGGCCAAGATTCTTTGGCCATTAACTGGCTTTTAAAAACAACTGCCGTGTTGCCTTTGCTTTAGGTAAAATAAGCGGACCAGTAGCAATCACTCCAGTCCACTGCAGTGTACCCTGCTCGGTAAATTGATGGAAGCATAAAAGGAGATTCCCAAGTGTTATGCATGGTTCTCAAAAGAATTTGCATTTTTTAAAGAAAGTGTAGAATTCCTTTAACTGCCCATCTGTGAAATTATGATTAGGTGTTGTTCTGACAAATACCTTTAAATCATTATGAATATTATTATTTGATTGACAAGCTATATACATGCATTTGAATTTTGCATATTGCATTTTACATCACGCTTTAAGACAATGTCATGAAACAACCAGAATTTATATCTTTAAACATAGCTTACATATCATCCACTAAGATAGACACAATCAGATAATTACAGTGGCTCATTGTACTTGAGACTGCTTACTCTTCAGAGGATAATGGGATGTGGCTGTCACTAAACTCCACATTCCCATGTTTTCCTTTAATATTGTCCCTGTCAGGTAGCAGCCTAAGGTTACATTCCAGTGCACTATGAATGCTTTGATTTAAAACTACCATGGCCAGGTCCTTTTAGTTATCTGCTATCTTTCCAGCTTTGTTCAAGCTAGAGAACCATTCGTCTGCTAATTAGCTCTTTGGAGATTTCCCTTTTAAAACTCACTATCACAAAGGACAGGAGCTGTTCAAAAGTTTCCAGCTTCATAGAAATTCCATATTCATGCACATCCTGTACAGTCATCTTTTAAAATTAATAATGGCATGGCAGGCCAATTTAGGGTAAATAAGGAAGCTGAGCTAATAGGTAGAAATATGGAGACCTGCTTGTGCAGAGAAATTAGCGCAGAACAATACTGGGGCGTGACTACAAATTAGGTTTAGAAATACAGGTGTACAAATTAAAAGCAAATCTATAAATCAGTGCAACAGGCATCATTTCTCTTTATGTGATGGTGAACAAATATTGTGCTAGCTGAATATAAAAGTAGCACAAGTTTAGGGTACAAAAAAAAACACACACTGTAAAAACATCAAGAGTGGTCTTACATCAAGGAAGGCCCGGAGGATGTCTTTGTTGTCAACTTCAGAAGAAAAGATAGGAACAGAAGAGGAAACTGGCAGAAGGAGTAGATGCCAGAGAGAACTCAAAGGATTAGGTCTGGGTTAGGTGATCGGTATTCGAAAGCAGTCTAGCTTCTGGCTCTGATCTAAGGGAATAGGCTGGCAGCAAAGCCAGAGGGCATAACAGCACAAAAACACCTTCAGCACACTGCTGGAGGCTTGCCTGAGTGCCTTAAAATTGTACCAGTAATTAGAAATAAAGGTATAGAAGAACAATAGGCAAAAAGTAGCAGATTTATGAACAATCTTTTTGACTTTTATTACTGTTCATACGGGATGTCAATGATTACTTTTCTTTTTTTACCTTTAAAGTAGGAATATTTTTTTATGCTTCTGTAAGACAATGATGCTGTGAGCTGAAGTCTTTATGCCGAGCTGCTCGGTGCTAATGTCTGCTAGATGAAAGTGAAAACATTTTGAATATATTAATGCTATAGCGCAGATGTCTTACTTTTCATTCTTGCTGCTAATGTGGAGTAGCTAATAATGATGCAGATTATGATGGAAAGATGAAGAGGTGAAAATAGGGAATACAGATGAAATACAATTGGCTTAGATTTGCTTCATAATTTAATCTCTGTAGTTCCCTTGGAGGTAAGAAGTGACTAGATATATTTCATTGATTTTTAACAGTCAACATTAAAGAAATTAAAGAATTTCCTTCACTTGCAAGGAGCCACACTGAAAACAAATCAGAGCAGTTTAATGTTTCTAAAAAAAGCAATCAATATCGCATGTAAAAATAGTTAATTCACAGACTAGTTTAAAGACACACAAGAACCTCAGGGGGGAGAACTGTCAACTGGAAAATGACAGCTGTCGTTAAATAAGTTGAAATTTCATTCTGAAAGCTAAAGCTTCTTAAGTTTACTGCTATTTTTAAAATGTTGTTAGTGGTCTAATTTCTCACCTATTCTTCTGGAAAAAAATACAGTACAAAAGAAGAGCATTGGGTGGATAGGACTACCCAGGCACTTTTTGATATGATTATAGCTTTGTTATATTTGGAAACAGTTTTCTTAACACCTTCCCGCCCAGCCTATAGCAGATTGATGGGACACTGGACGTTGTGACTGGGCGTCATATGACGTCCTGTCAAAACGAGCTGCGCAGCTGCGCGATCTGTCACCGGCTGTATCCACAGGACACAGCCAATGGCATATCACTACACCAGCCCATTGCCAGTGTTATGTAACCAGTGTCATGTGACCACTGTGACCAATTACAGCAGATCACATGTCAATTGTATACAATGGATGGTTTCCTATCATGCCATCAATTGTATGTAATTTTGCTGTTAGCTGTGACTGGTCAAGGCAGTCACATGATACAGACAGAGCCAATCACAGCCCATCTGTATCATGTGATCAGCTTTGCCCAATCACATCTAATCACAACAAAAGACTGAATGAATCAGTTTCATTCAGTAACAATCATTGCAAATATCAATGAAATACATTGATATTAGCAATCATAATGTGTTAAAAAAAAATCCTGATCACTTGCCCAGAGTAGTTCAATGTTACTATGGTAACATTGTATTGCTTTGGTCACAGTGTGCTGAAAAATTAAATAGTAAAAAAAAGAAAAAATGTAATAAAAAATAAAAAAATAATAGAAACATTTGAAAAAAAATACAAATTCAATTATTAGTATTATTATTTTCACCAAACAAATGTAGCAGAATACATTTGGACCTACATTTATGAAGAAATTGTATTAATGTGCAACATTTTATAACAGAAATGAAGAAAAGTACGTTTTTGGTTTTTTTCAAAAGTTTCAGGTGTTTTTTGTTTTATTTAGCAAAAAATAAAAAACTCAAGTGCTGATTAAATACCACCAAAAGAAATCTCTATTTGTGTGAAAAAAATTATAAACATTTCATATGGGTACAGTGTTGCATGACCGCAAAATTGTCATTCAAAGTGTGAAAGCTGAAAATTGGCCTGGGCAGGAAGGGGGTAACAGTGCCCGGTATTGAAGTGGTTAAAGTGTCCAGGGCAAAGTAACAGTTTTTATTTAGTGTCCCCCTCCCCAGCAGCACTCACATCTCCTCTGCTCCCCCACTGATCTCTTCAGCTGCCAGGAGCAACAAAAACACCTAATACTTCTGAGTATGGAG